AGAGAGGGATGAGGTGTCAAGGTGTGGTTGGAATGTGTTTGGGTCCCACTGTTGTTTTTGTTTGACAATTACCACATTGTCCTTAATAAGTGTATAAATTTGATTTTTTTTATCCATTAGATCATCTGATCTTGGCTACGATTTATTCTCATTTCTTTCATTGAGAACCATTCTCATGTGAACCCAACCCTATATATATATATATTCGATAAATGAATTTATATTGAATATATCGCGAGAAATTGAATAAAAAAATTGTTGCTCCTTGGTTTCGAACTAGGGACCTCATGTGAGCATGGAAAGCAATGCCACCACCACACCACTCAACCAATTATCAAGGTTGACTGCTAAATCCTGGAATGTTTAATATATATAGACATTACTATAGATAAATGAAATTAAATTTAGAAGATAATGTAAATTATATTAAATTAAATTATTAAATTATAAAATTATGATACATTAAAATATAATAAACTAAATTACATAAAATTAAATGAAAAAATTATTTAAATAACTTATTGTATTAAACAAAAAGAAACAATTAAAATAAATTATAAATAAATATAAAAAATTACAGTTAAAATAATAATATTTATTATATTTATTTTATATTATTTCATATACTTTATATTTTATTATTTATTTTAATTTATATTATTCCATATAATTTTGTTGCATTATTCATTTTATTTTATCTTAGTTAACAAACTTTATTTATTTTGTATAACTTATACAATGAAATTAAATTAAAATAAATTTTAATAAATAAAATATAGATTAAAATTATTTATTTATAATTAAAATCATTTACTATAAAATTTTAATTTTATTTAATTTTTTTTCTTCCAGATTATGTAAGAGTAAATCATATTAAAATTATTTGATAAATAATAAATTTTTATTTTATTATATTAATATAATATTTTTATTTATGTTATTTTATTATGCCCCATAAGTTATTTTATTTATTATGTTATTTTAATTTAACCATTTTTATACTTTATTATCTTATATTAATATTATTTTTTTTATTTTAATTAGTTTATTTTACTTTATTTATTTTTATTTTCAGTTTTAATTATTATTATTTTTTCTTTCAAATATATAATTAATTTATTTTAATGATTAAAAAATATAAATTTATTAGTTTTTAATTCACACTATTATATTAAATTTTATCTTAATTTATTGTAATTTAATTTTTAATTATTTTATTTTATAATAATTTATTTTATTACTATTATTTAACTAATATTAAATTTACCTATTTTACTTTATTTTATTTTATTTAATTCATTTTCGTATGATATCATAAATATTCTTATGTTCAATAATTTGCACAACTATACATTTAACTTAGTGGTTGTGTGGGCGTTTTTCAATCTTTGCAACCCGAGTTCGAACCTACTTCCCGCTCTTTCCATAATTTTGGCTTTTGCAATAATTCAGGAGGGTATAAAGGTTTTTGTAAATATGTAAAATAAAAAAAAATGAAAAATTTTCGCAGCTAGAGAAGGTGAGTTGAGCTCATCTAGGGCTGCTGGAACATTTAGCTACCTGAGTAAGAGCTGACCTGGCGTCCGACACTATTAGTCGGAAGAGTCAGACGAGATAACCAATTCATTATTCGGTAATGACCGCTCGGTTAGGGTTATTCCTGGTTGGGAAGCGGATATTAGATCTCTTTGGAAAATTTCCCTATCTCTATCGTTAGATATTCGCTTGAATTGTATCGATTGGGAAAAGATGGTGGACTTGGAACTCAGTTTTATGCCTTATTATGATTTGAAACCCTTGAAACCGAGTGTATAACACCAAAATGTCATGAGATTTTTTTTTTTTTGTTGAACCATGAATTAGAGAATTTCTTATCTGTACCTCGAACCGAACGCCGATCTTGGCTGGATGTAGCCACACGAAGTGGTGGTCGGGCACGCATGCCCGTGCTGAGAGACGTGAGGCCAACTGCACGGTCGACCGTTGACTCTAACCAAAGTTGCAGCCGCCATCATCGAACGCACGACTCCCAAGGCCATTGTGTACAGCCAAACCTCGACCTTGTAGCTGGTCTTTGAGTAGGTACATGCACGCATCCAAGCGCCCCACATATGCAGCGCCAATGAGTGTGCCACATGTCGGGTGACAATGCACCAACCCCGAACCATTGATTCCTTTTTGGCTTGTACGAGGGGTTTTTTTGCATCAAATAATAAATTCTTCTTTGAACCTCTCTCCCAAGCTTGAAACTGAGAGCTCCAAGTTCCACTTGATCATTGTATGAATTCTCTAATCAATACTTCTTGATTAAGTGAGACTTGTCGATTAGTTTCTATGCCATATGTCAGATTTTCTCGAGTTGGCAAGATAGAGGTTCCGCTTTGATGTCAGGCGGAGTCTTGAGTCTCAATTGGAGTCTATGTATGATTCATAGGGATTGAGACTACGAAGATGGAGAGTGTATTGAAGTTAGAATGGGGTACCGCGTCGACCATTCTGACGGAGATGCA